GGTAGCCACTAAGGAGGTTTTTGCTATTGATGTGGCTTTCTTGGTAGCCTCGAGAGTGGATCCGGAGGTCCGCTGGGAAGCATTCCAGCTTCTCAGGGGATGTGGAGAGGCGTCCTAATCTTGTGTTAAATTGTGACGTTAGTGCGTACATGTCTCTATTTCCCTCTCCTGCACCAAAGACGTTAACTGCCCGAGCGGCTGCGGTAAGCCCGCGAGCGGCGGGGAGAGCGGCGGGCAGGCAGCGGCCCGAGCGGCCCAGCCCGCGAGGAGAGCGGCGGCGAGGCGGCCCCTCAGCCCACGCTGCGGCCCCAACCCCCGCATCCCCAACACCGCGTGTCTTCTGTGACTGAAGAAACACGCGAGGGATCAAAATGTGAGGAGAACCCCTTTTCTCTGAGCAGCCGCCCCATAGAGAAATGTGCAGCGAACATGATAAAGGCTAATATCTTTTATTACATTTTATAGATTAAATATATTTTCAGTAGCGTCTCTCTTTTAAAACACACAAAAGGAAAAATACATTCTTCATGTACATATGAAATACTGACCACGTTGCAGAGACCATGTCTAGTGCAAAGTATGAACACAGCAACAGACACATAACCATTTTGGACGATTATCAGATTTCTTTTTTCTACAGTGAAGTTAGCATAATTCAATATTTCTGCTTCCAAACCCGTCACGTCCATAATATTCCCTGGGATCATGCAGGAAAGGGTTTTACTTTTTAAACTTACTATAAAATCTTTGCATTGCATTGAAAAATTATTAAACTCTGCAGCTTTAGCTCTTGCACACATTCATAATCGTAGCACAATCTTTATTATGATTGCAGCCCAACTCCAAAAACCCTCAGAACAAAAGGAAATAAATATACATGTAAATATATATATATATATATATAAAAACCTGGTAAGGAGAAAGGAATGAATCAGACTGATTGTTGCAATGCCCACAAAACGTGTACCCACACGACACACACGCACACACGAGGTGGAAAGTGGCGAGGTGTGACTGAGCATCTCCTATTCCTAGCTCGGAGCGAGGGGCCTGGGGTGCACCTTTCACTGGACCTTTAGTGTTTTCAGTACGGGATGTCGTTCTGGTAGTACTGGATCATGTCGTATGTCCTACTCCTAAAGGAGGAAAGCAAAGCCGGAGGAAAGCAAAGTTAAACACTGCAGCCATTGACACAAAAACAAAAATTGAGATGCCACAGAAGCAAAAGACGTGTGAAAGAAATTGCTTCTAATCAAAAGAGCCCTACACTCTTTTAAAGGCATGGTGAAGGACATTTTATTTTTATATCAAAACATCCTGATCTTGTTTAAACGAGCAGAGATTGTCCAGTCCTGATGCAGCTGGATGAGAAAAACAGATAAGCAGCTACCATGTTTCCAAAAAACATTTCCACTACATCCTCTCACCCCTCCTTAAATCACAGCTTAAATTTCATTAAGTTGAACTGTAACATTATCATTACAAGGCTACCTTGACTGAAAGCTTATTTTGCAGAACTGGGCCTGAAGCAGCAGTACTGAGAAGGGAAAGCAATTCAGCTAAGGACACGAGTAAAGTTCTTCCCTCTAAGTTTTTTGGTCCTGCTGTACTAAAACAAATTACTTCCACACCTCTTACTGTTTCAAGAACAGCAAGACATAAGACATGAGGAAAGATTCAGTGGAAATATCAGAACTCATTTACAGAAGAGCACCAAATATTCTTTTGTGCACACTAGCAGCTTAGCCCTAGAGAGAAGACATGCACAAGGTGGCAAACCTGTTGCTGAGGAAGCAATTCTGGATGATCTTAATGATGAAATTTGCAGCCTCCCTTTCAGTCATGTTGGGGCTGAACCTGTGCCTATATGCAGAAAACCCCAAAAAGCAAGAAGACAAGTTAGCGAGCTTTCCCTTGAGCATTACACAAATGAGTCTTCAACAGCAGGTTGAGCTTGTGTGATTTCATTTGCAGCAAGCATGTACTTCCCATGAGATTACCTGATCATATTATGCAGTGTTTAAATAAGCACTTCCCTTCAGTCTTACAGCGGGCAGAGTGGTTGTAAGGTTTTGATCAGGTTAGTGGCAACTCTAGGAATACCAGAACCCTCTTTCTAAGCGGCTGCTGTGTTTAAAATACCCATGCATCTAGCAGTGACCTTGATGCTCCAACCCAGTATACCTTATGATCTGTGCTTATTTCTAGGAAATCTGTAGGAAATTATCTGCAGCAAATACTGAATGCAGAGCTAATGCTGGAGGCATAAAGTTGGAGAGCTCTTTAAAGTGTCATATTGGAATCTGTATTTGCCTAAACTGTTGATGTTACAACATAGCACCACATTATCTGTGGAACGAATTTAAAATGCTTAGAATTACAGAAGCATTTGAGAAGAGGGCAGACTCAGCAGCACATTTTCTCCGTTAAACCAGATCTTTCCTTTACAGTCTTGCCTTACTAAGTTGCAGAGAATCCATGCACTTGCACAGTCACTACACAATCTGAATTTAATGCTGCGAAAATGCCTCGGAAATGCCTATTACTTGAGATGTTCTATAAACAAAATTAAACTACTATTACTAAAACACATAAGACATTTGGATCACATGGCACTATACTCACTGCGTAAGCTGTGACTATATACACTCTACATAAATAAATAAAAATGTATAAATACCTTCCAGTTTATACCTACGCTGACTTACTTTAACAATTTGATTGTCTGTCCTCGGAAACAGGGCAGCCCTGTATCCAGCATTAATGTAACCAGTGACACTACAGCATCCATGTATGGCCTAGAGAAAAAGAGGACAACAAGGTTACAGTACTTAAACATCTGCATCCTTATTAGGTAGGGCAGGCAAGCGGAGGAGTTCAAGCAGGATCACACCTTTCTCTGTAGTTAAAACTAGACATGTAATCCTCTTAGAGTTCTTGAGGGAGCTACACCGTTACTTGCAATCTGTCACTTTAAATTTCACTCCTTAATGTCAGGTTAGCAGTTATACAGTGCCTCAAGAAGAACATCCTCAAGGAGGGTTATACAAAGTAATGTTTTGGTAAATAACACTCCTTTGGCAACAGAAAGGTGAATTAGAGCATAAAAACCATTTAAAAGGCTCAAACCAACAATACCACAGCAACAGATTATCTTCTAAGTCCTAATTACCCTAAGGAATTCTTTGCTACATGAGTAGAACTTCCCTTCTTCTTCTTCTTCCTCTCCTCCCGGTCAGAACATTTATTACCTACCAAGCTATTTACTACTCAGATGGCATCTTTTTCTTGGAAGAAAATTTCTCCAGCATGCTCCCCCCCAAGGAAGCAAACTGATCCTGGCTTCAAGACAGACCCTTTCAGGTCTGCTATCTGGGGAAATTTTAATTCTTTAAGATAACATAAATATACTTCCTACTTGTGACAGAAAGAGGTTTTATATGCTCTGTGTCATATTACTGTTCTCCTTCTCACATGCAATATCCTCTTTGTACAAATTTAGCATTGCTCCTGCAGGTTACAGCAAGCCCCATTTGCTGGTAATACAAAGTAAAGTTTCAAAAATCCTAACTGTGACTGGCTGGCAATAATAGCTGAAGAGTTGAGCTACCAAAATCTGCCAATTTCACAACAGAAGTTGTAGCACTATCTTACATGACCTGCCTAATTAATTGAAGTTAAAGCAATGGTTAACACAGTTGTCATATTAGGAAAAAGTGAAAGAGATTGATTCGCTTGTAGCTTTTTACTGCAAAGTTTAAATGACATACTATACTGAGTAAAGGAAGAACATTACATTTATTAATTAAATACAATATAAACATCTTAAATGTCATATATAAACAGAACAAACACTGTAAAATTACAGGACTGTTAAATTGTTTCAAAGTTTGTATCCTGACAGTCAACATCACTATTAATGCATTTAACAGCCAGCCTTAACCCCCTAACAAACACTTATTTAATTTCTTCTCTGGTTTTAAGCATGCAAAAACTTCTAATTTGAGCACTAAGAATGCCTCACCTGACTGCCAGATAGCCTCTGACACACATCTCCATAAACCACTTGAATGGAGTTGCTTCCATTTTTCCTCCCATTATCATCACCATCTCGTCAGTCAGCTTAATGTCTGGCTCCCAGCCCAGATTTCCACCAGGTGAGCTTTCAAACATGAAGCCAAAATCTGTGCACAAAAGATAAGCCGGCTCAGATACTTTGTTCGTTAATTGTGCACTGTTGAAGCTGACAGAAGAAAGGAGAGGCGGATTTCACATATTAATACCTGCTTTTCATCTTTCTAGCAACTGAAAATAAGTTTGGGTGAAGTATAAGAATATTAAAAGAATCATAAATATGACATTAGACTAGACTAAGGAGCAGGATGCCAAGTAAACACCTTGCCAAAACATTCAGTGAAGTTCCAGAAAAACAAATCTAAAGTAAAAGTCTCACACAACTATAGACAAATTTAATTCCCATCCATGCAGTGATGACAGGACCCCATGATACATTTATACGTCACATGCATCTACACACATCCACACATCCACAGATAGATGCGTATGTGTGTATATACTTCCCTGAAGCTGGTAAAATTTTGCAAAACTAATTCTGCACAGAAGCAGCCAACACCAATATACATACAATACTAACCGAACATGGTAGAAAATTCCATGCATATTTACAAGCTGTGAAATCAACGTATAAATTGAGCTCCAAAGAGAAATGGCTTATTATCCTGTATGCACAGTATTTTATAACAGAGGAAAAGGTGGCTACAAAAGTTCAAATGCAGATATAACTGACCAATATGAATGATGTGTCCCTTTTTGTCCAGCATGATGTTGCCATTATGCCTGTCTTTAATCTGGAGCAGAAACAGGAGAAGACTATACGCAGCCATGCTGCGGATGAAGTTATAGCGAGCCTGTATAAACGAGAAGTTAACAGCAAATCAGAAGAACTCAGAGAGTTTAATCTCCCTCCTCCACCCCAGGAGCAGATGCAGCTGAAGAAAGTATTTTCTTCACCCCCACCTTCACTCCTTCCGTTCATGACTAGTTTGAAGCAATGTTCAATGATATTCTCCATATATCTCCAGCAGCAATAATCTCCTTAGCTAACTTACTCATAGCTAAAAACGGATTATCTGCATCAGAAACTATATACTGCATTATGATAGTCATTATCCAATTGTCTGTCATTATTCCTTATATCTAGAATGTCTTTTGGTTGAGTTTTACTATGTCTGCCAACTGATAATTTACCTTCTGGAATGCAAGGGTTGACTCATCTCCATATTGCCTTGTAAAGTAATCATACATCCCAAAGTCTGTCTGCCTGCCCAGCTGGTCACGGGATGTGCAGTCAGGAATGCATTCAATAACACCGCACTGAAGGAAGAGCAGAGAAACAGGTCTGTAAAGCACGTTCTCAACACACACATTGCTCATGGCTCTTGACAGTTGCACAGGTCCCCTGGGAAATGTGGGGAAACCCATAGATCATTGAATACGGAATTTCTAGTTTATTCCTTAAATCAAAGTAGATCCAAAAACTGAGAATTTCCATGCAACATAAGATTTGTGGCTCTTCCCTAACTTGCACAATGTAGCCCCCCAAAATGAAACAGCAAACACTAACAACCACAAGCAGCAAAAATTTAGAGCCAAAAGCTTCAGAAAGGCAGGAAACAGGGGAGGAAGGACTCTTTGCCACTGGCGCTCCAAATATGTGTGGACAGTATTTCCTTGCAGAATGGAATTTTTGTACATGCTGTAAAACTTTTTTTTTTTTTTTAATTAGGAATTAATTTATACAACTCTAGAATTAATTGTCCACTTACCCCCGGAGCTGTGGCCACCACTCTGTATGGAAACACAAAAAGATCCAGGCCTACCAGCTGAAATATGTTCTTGAAGAGATCGATGATTTGTAAAGCTAACATGTCCTGTTATACAGGAAAAAAGAGCAAGCACAACATTATAGAAGTTACAGATCGTAAGTCAGGTTACAAATTGATGTGAAGAACTCTGAAGTGAACACTAAGTTCCTCCAGAAGGTCTGCAGATGTGTGCTTGTGCATTCTGTATGGCTCCAGAGGAAATCAACAGAGAAAAAGATAAATAGCAGGTAGCACTAACCTAGGAAGAACAAATGTTTTCATCATTCTTTGATAAGAGGAGTACCGATAACTCTAGTTATAATAGCTAATACTCTCTCTTAATTAAACAAACATTCAAACATCACTGTACAACATATCAGTTTAGAAAACACTACTGTTACCAATACATTACTACTATGTTATATTATCAACTGAAAATGTTTCCAAACTCCAAAAAAATCAATCCAAAAATATGGCATTGCGAGCCAAGAGCTTGACCTAGGCTTCCAAAGGACATTTCCTATAGTGGGATGAGACAGTTCTCTCCTCGGTCCATAGCTAATGAGGATTCTAAGGACTTGAAAGAAAAATATTTGTATGCTAATATTATTTTCTTCCAGCATACTTTTACCTACAAGTCTATTTTCTGTAACTGCACAGTCTGGGAGCTTTGTACCTGTCTGCAGTCATCGCCCACTTTAAAGATAGCTGCTTGCCAACAGATTTTCTTACTGTCCACCCCTTCTTCTGTACTTTCATCTATGGAATCAGAACGACAACGGAGACCTGCAAAAAGAGTACAAGGGAAAAACATGGAGTCCCCCCCTACAACATATCCCCTACACTGAACACCACACCATTTTTTTTACAGGTTTATTATAGAAATTTCTGCCTTGCAAGGTAAATTCTGCAAGACAGTTCCCTTCCTCTTTTAGCACTGGAACATCAAAGTAGCTTTCATGGTCTACTTGAAAAAAAGCCTAAATTACTTTAAACTAGTCATCTAGAATCTCCCACAAAACTTATTACAAGAAAAGTCTGCCAAAAACTATGGAGTTCACAGTCTAGAAATCAGAGAAAAGCAATTATTTTATAAAACAAGTCTGAGGTAACTGTTAATATTTCTTTAGGATACGTATGTGGCCTGCTTTCAGAAACTAGAAAATGGAAAAAAAAAAAAAAAAAAGAATTTAAGCTTTCAGAGATGAGACAATTTCTATTCTTCTGTCCCCATTTTATGGGGGGTTTCATTTCTGAGCTGAACCTTGTGGATAAAGTTCAACATGGAAACAATTTTACCGCAGCAGTATAGGTCATTGAAAGCATGCAATTTTAAAGGAATTGCTGACTCTTCATTAGGAATATCAATATTAAGACCATATACTAACCTTCCTTTTCAAGCTCACTAACTCCACACCGTTTCACTTTAAATTTGGCCAGGTAGGGAGCTTTTGCTGCACTGAGTTGGAAAAATACAAAGACGGTAAGTGCATAGTAGCCAAATAAGAATTTCATGAATAAAACCTAAATACAATGAATTAATTTAATGGAGGAACACAGGACGAAAATGTTACCTCTGCATAGGTGTTCCTGATTTGTAATCAATATCCAGAACAATCGCTTCAGGATTGCTGGGCAGGTAACAGCCTGCAAAACAGAGCAGCCAGCTGAGAACAAATGCATTGGCTAGTACGACAGTGAAAGAAAACCAAGCTCAGGGTCTGCAATCTCAATACGGATACTTCAATATGGATGAATTAAATGAATGCTAAACTAGAGATTATACTCTTGGAGAAGCCACTTGCCAGAGACTTGAAGATTTACTTTGGAAAAGTATGCACTTGTGCTGAATGTAAAAAACCTACTATATAATATGATTAAAACACTTCTTACCAGGCTGCACTTTCACCTCAGACAGAGCACTCAAACAAGCTTTTTTTCTTTCATCTCCTTTAGGGAATGGTCTAGAAAGATGAACAATATATTACTTACCTACATGTTACATACTACTTCAAGTACTAGCCTAAAATTTGTTACAAGTTTATGCAAACCACACTAAGTATTTTTTTTTCTCATAAAGACAAAGATCTTTTACTGCACCCTTCCTAGTGGATTTGAAGTCTCACTATCTAATGAGAACCTGTTCTCTGCTAATGAGTGTTTTTCTTTTTAGATATAACACTGATATGTAAAATGACATATAGATTGTTGACCAACTCAAATAGCATCAAAAATGCAAATGAAACATATGCGAAATCAGGGATCTCCCTTATACAGAAATTTGAGCAAGATCCCTCTTTTCTAAGTGCCGCAATAGTTACACCAATATCATTTCTCTTGTGGGCCTTATTCCAGAATAAAAATGTTGCTTTGAAAGTGGCATAAACTAACTGGAAAGACAAGCCAGCAAAATGCCTATGCAATTACACGCCTAATTTGTTCACATACTTAGCATGACTGCAGGTGCCAACTGGATAATTGGTGACATGGTTAACGATTAGTATGTACAATTACCCGATTTGCATCGGGACTCGTGTTAACCGTCTACGGGAGTCAGTCATGCAATTGCACACTCACCTGGTACAGAAGAAGGCAAGTGAAAAGAATTATTTATGCTATGGTTTTAAATAGCACAGCAGACTATTGAAGCAGTAACATGGCACTTTGGATAATGAAATCATCATACATGATACATTTATTCATTTGTGCTCTCTACAAAGCAAACAGCATTTCCTCTATACTGTCTTTATGTGGGAGATGTCTAAAATATAGATGCATTTTAGGGCTGGAGAGCAAGATGAAATGCTTGCTAATTATAATTATTTACACTTGCTTAAGTGCAACTTATTTCGAATAAAAAGTTGGATTAATTTCATCCCCAATGTCAAGATATCTTAAATTCCCCTTTTAATTCATCCTATTGGGTAAAAGCATTTGGGCATGCACATAGAAGACATGTAACATTTGGCAGTTTATAACGTGAACGTCTGTTAGCATGAGGTCTTCAAACTGGTGCCTTACAATGCTTCCCTTTAGAAGAAAGCTGTTCCAGAAAATACTGAATGCCTATGACTTTCAACCAATTTCATATACAACAAAACTGCATCTACAGATGCAGAGCTTGGGTGCTGGGCTGCTGCCATCCACTGGCAAGCCTTATAAATGTTAAATTACTCATTTTCACTGCAGTCTTTACAGTCAGCAGTGAAAGCCTCTCTGTGAGCAAGATTTTCAGTTTTAAGAGAGCAATCCAGGGTATGTGACATCAAATCTGTCTCTGCAACAACCTTTTATGAACGAAGGAGAAAGACTGACATATGTAAAAAGAATAATCCTCTTTGTATCACACCGTGCAATAAAATATCTATGTGAAAAGGAAAAGACAGTTTCATGGAGTCTTAAGAGTTTTAGCATAAAGTAAAGCACACATGAAATTTAGGGGGTTTTACTTGTGTTTTTTTTTTTTTTTCTTCCTCCATACAAAATGTGCCTAACAGTTTTAACAAGCAAAAATAAAGAAAGAAAGAAAAATAAAAGAAAAATGACAGTAAGTCTGTTGGGACAAACACAAGAATATGGTGTTCCTTCCTGAAGCAAGCTTGGACAACTTCCCATGATAACGTTGGTCACCTACCCAAAAAGCCACATTAATGGGGCAGGTGACGATATAGCTAGATGCATGGGATTAGAACCGGCCTAAGAGCACTGTTTTACCAACCCTGCTTCTACCTCTGTGCGCCTACTGCGGTGCCTCCTTCCAACGGGTGCAACAAACTTGCTAAAATTAGTTTAAAAATTAATGTCCAAGTTTACTGCTATGTACTTCCACAGTAAAATGTTACAGTTGTTTCAGAGGGAAGGACTGCCAAGTCCTGCAAAAAGCACAGACCACTGAGATCAGAGCAGGTATGATTTACTCCTAGATGTTAAAGCAAGCCTTTGCATCCTACTACAGCTGTAAGTTATATTAAAAAAAATACCATAGGAGTAATTATCTTTTTCCTGAAAACACTATCCCAGTGCCTCTAAAATCAACCCAGCCTCTTAACAAGGACACTGACAATTTCCAGAACAGTGAGGCCAAAAGGCCACAACTTACTTGATAATGGCTGAAACATTAGTGATTTTATTAAAGAAGTCGAATTCCCGTTGGTAGAACTCCTTGGCTGGGCCAGATAACGAGCTGGTTATCTCCTCTACTAGTTGCTCTAGGAGCTCCCCAATGTCAGCTGTACATAAAATGAAAGAATCTGTGTCAGAAGCTTATTTCAGAGAGCTAAATGATATCTGGAAAGGAAATAAATATCTTTTTAGCAGTAATAACAACAATAAAAAAAATACTGTTGCAAAGATTGTTGCATCTCTTTTGATAAATTCTGTCAGGCGAGAGAGTTCTATTGAGTGGATCCTATCTCTTCAAATGAAAAATAGAAATTCCCAAGCTGAGACTATTCCTCCTGCCAAAAGGAGGCAGAAAGGAGCTTTATCCTCAATTGTGATAACGAATAGGAATCAAACTGGATTAAATTTTAAAGCACTCACGATCTTTTTGGTGTCCTTCTTCATCCAGGTAGATATTAGTTTTCATGTTCCAGATGAATTGATGTGCCAAGAGCTGGGATTTGGCAGCTGCCCACAGGATATATTCTCTAACATAACCCATCTGCAACAGTATGCAGTTCAGTAACACTCAAAAGACTGTTACAACTTAAGGAGACTCAGTGTTAACTACTTCTAACAGCTATTCTTCAAAACTTATATTATTTAATGTCTAAAAAGAAAGTAAGTGCAATCTCATTCACCTGGCTAAAAAGAACTTTCAAAAACGACTGTTTATTCTGACAGATGAGGGATTGAGCCTAAACTGCTTTCAGCTTTATTACTGATGTGTTCTGTGATTCTAGGTAAGATACTTCCTACCTCAGTAACTTTTCTACCTATTCTATTCAGGTTTCTAATCTCTTTGAACTTAGCGTTTTCCCTAATGAATTTTCTACAAACTACATAGTAATGGAGTCTCTTGGCACCAATAAATGTTCCTTTAATATGATTTATATACACACAACTTCATCATTTTGGCGGCAAGAAGTGAGCATGCTGACACGGTTACACAGAAATTCTGGAAAGCAGGAACATCAACTTACAAAAGAAGTTGAGTGCACGAGACCATCTTACTCACTTGAGGAGTGTATATATATTACGTATAAGACAACAAGTGGCATTAGTTTAAACTTAAGTTTTGTCCAATTTGCAGTTTTAAGTCTAAAGGCTGTTTTGAAGACTTGCTTGGTTCATATATAGCTGTTTCATGCTTACCTTATCATAACGAAGTGCCTGCACGATCTGTGGAATGTAGAATAAAATGGCATCCTAAAAAAGAAAAGGCAGCAGAGATTTGTGTGTTTTGTTTTGTTTTGTTTTTTTATTACTGGTTCAGTGGTTGGTAGGGAGGACAACTCACACTTACATGGAAAAATTCCCTTTCTTTAGGTGATGAACAAAATTCCTACTTGCCTCTTTATTTTAAACTACATATATGCCACCTTCTCAAATCAAATGATTTTTCCGCCTAGTGGCCTCCTTTAAAAATATTAACAAATACATCTTTTACAGTCCTTATAAAAAGTTTGACAAGCGTTAAAAATTGAAGCCTTCTACTTCTTCAAAAGAAACTCTTATCCATTGACAGAAGAGTATCTGAGAACTGAAAAGAACAATTGAGAGCAATGATCTGAAGAATTCAGCTTGATGTGACTTATAAAAGACAAACAGCTTGCAAATGATAAACCAGTTATATCTGGGACAATCAACTTGAACTGTTCATCCCCACCTATTCACTCTCTTCATTGTGATGAGCCCAGTTAGCATATACACCTCTTCACTGTATTAAAATGAAGTCTGCAATCCCAATGACTGAGGCCAATAACTGGACTTGAAGCATTAGACTCTCTTGCAAGACATCTTACCGGAGGGAACGATCGCAGGACTTTAACTCCATACTGAGCTGTTAAAGGATGAGGCGGATACATGCTTGAGAAATAGGAGAGGCCAGTTGGTGGGTCCGTGGGTGCCCAGCACAGAACGTGGCTGAGCTCCGGCGCATCGGCGTCGATGGTGTGCCACGTGACCAGGTACTGCAAGAGCAGGTCACACACAGCATGAGTTCAGAGGCCCCAGCAAGGCCTGGGGAATAGTCAGACTGTACGTCTACAATCTAGCTTCCTAAAGCACAGAAAATGAAACATGCTACATTTTATTTTACAAAACAACTACTCATCTAAAGCATTTCTTCTTCTAGGGAAATCTAACTTTTGGAATCACCTCACCTCCCAGATCACTGGATGAGGTTAGTACTGCAGTTACAAAATGCATAATATAACAGACCTACCATAGGGAAAAAGAACAGAGGTTGAACCCTTTTAGTATCAAAGGTACAATTTTTCTCTCACATATTTTACATGTGATATACAGCTCTGATGAGGTTGTTCCTCACATGACTAAAGGGCTCCACTGCAAACCAGCATGAGAGCTACCAGCATTTCCTACATTTTATACACATTGCATCTTCAGACACAGAGATGGGGTTAGAATTGAAACCAACTTCAGTCGTAGCACATTACTGTGACTTGGTCCATGGTATTTTTACATGTCACATGGAAAGAACAGAAATAGTGGCTGTATTAAAAGTGATGGGGCTTGGAATGCTCTATGCATGGCAAGAACAGGCCCAGGAGAAAAGCAACCAGCTAGCTAGCCACAGCTAGGTTGCCAGGAGAAAAGCAACCAGCTAGCTAGATACTATGATTCTTGCCTCAGCATCCTATTTCCATAGCTGTTTTGTCATTCTCTCCGCTGAGTTATGCTTAGCACTAGAACACATTCTGTATTAAGTAAAGACTGTATTTTCCACTATATCAGTAGGAAAAAGTCATTTTGAGGCCATGACAATATTAGCAAATACCTTTATTGCTTCAGGAACATCACTAACAGCTCCTGGGTCCAACCGAACCAGACGAGTTACTTCTGTACCAATAGCTTCAGTGTTCTTAAATCTAAGTATAACCAGGAATATAGTAACATTATTAATTTGAATTATAGCCCAAATGTAAAATAATGTACATTGAGGGACCAACATCCTGTCAAAAGAGAACTCAGGAAGGACTAATCTTTTCCCAATGCTTTGCATAAACCATGATTATTTTAGTGCATTATCAAATTGTTGGCTGAAAAATACTGTCTGAGATTCTATAGAAATCTGTGCCTAGAACTCTGCTTGGCAAAAATCACCACTGTTGTAAGTAGGAAAGAATTTTCTTTCCCTCCTGTAGCCAACTATGCAAATTCTGTTATACTGATTAAAGCTCAAACCAATATACAGGTAGAACACTTTATTCCCAGATACTTTTAGCACTCTTTAAATGCTATGGCCACTAATGGGTGAAATATTATTCAACACCAAATATAATTCCTTCTGAGGAAAACACTGCTTGCGTGTCAAGGTAGAGAAGGAACTCGGGCTTTACTAGAGCCTGAGCCAAACGTCTCTTATTCAGCAGTTTGGTTCGTTTTATTTCAAAGGTCTCAGCCAAGTGTGAAAAGATACGAGACTGTCGTAAGCCAGAGCAAGTGCCATCAGTGCTTGCAGTGTCAATACTCCTTCGACCTCTAAGAAAGGCAGCAGTAATTATAATAGTTCTTTCTTTTGAAATTTCTCACCTGGTAGGCAGCTGTACTGCAAGATGAGGGGAAATGCTCCAAGCCAAATTCACATTATCTTTCCATTGCTTCTCACTAAGACTGATATACTTAGACCTCCAGTTTGCCACACTGTTCTCTCCAGTTTGATCCAACTCTAGCTCAGGGGAGGAGAGTGGATTGTACCATGTGATTAAGCGCTCAATCTCAGTAGCCTGAGTGAAAAAGATTAAAAGCAAATTATTTTTTTGGAAGAAAATAAAAAACTCCATTTTCACCCTCTGACAATGCTTTAGTGTATTAAGTCTGCAACAACTTCAAGGTTTCAGAAATTCAGTTCTGATGACCCACCAGCAAAGACAGCAGTAATGTCCTCCGCTTCATGTAGTACTTGTGCAGCTGCGTCCCTCTGTTAGTCTTCTTGGACATCCCTTGGGGAAGGGGTAAAAATCTGTTCAGTGATTCAAATATCTTCAATGATGCTTTCAAACTGTCTACATCTGGCAACCTTAACAAAAGTTAACTAACAAAAAGAACTGAGCCAGTACTGTAAATTAGTGAACTGAACTTGTAAATTTAGACCAAGTGATTTGACCAAGTAAGCACTGCATCTACCAGTTGTTCTCTAAATACATGGAGTATAACAGGCTACAAGGTTATTAGTTTAATCAGTGCTGCATTCAATTTAGAAGTACAGCAACCTACTAAGAATAAGAGCACGTAGTTCTGTCATGCAAAAATAGGGATCACACCCTAATGCCATTCTGCTGCCCAGAAAAGTCCCTTGGGCATGAGTACACATGCAGTGCAATTTCTTTTCAGGAGCTCAACATATCTTGACCTCCACTCCTATCTTCTGTGCTGAAGAACTGAACATTCTGTGGAACAGAAGAGCTAGTTTCACAACTTTCCTGCTTGCTCCCAGTGAGGCACCATTCCCCCGTCCCACAGATTTGGCATTAGCAATTAAATACCCTGTCAGGAAAACACGATCCCAACAGTAAGGCAAATATTGACTTTAAGCAACATCTGCATATAAAACATGCTGTGAAGTGGGATACAATTACCTTATTGAAACCAAAAGAGATACCTGATTTTTTAGATATGGTTGACATGCCACTCGATAAAGGGTAGGTATTTATCCATCCTTGTGTAGCCTGTTGCCGAGATCCAACGTTGATATCCAGGTTGCTCCTAGTGTCTTGATTATCTGACAATAGAACACAAAATCTAAAGTAGAAGCTAATCAAAAAAAAAAAAAAAAAACTACAGGCCTTTGAAACTCTATGTGAAGGAGCTCACCAGGCGGCACTAGTTGGCTGGCTGTCAGGTACTTTTTGTCTGAGAACATAGCTGTCCAAAACTTGATCAATATGCTGATATCCTCAC